GTGTGTCCGCAGGAGGGGCGGGAACCGGATTACTCGGAGTACAAGGAGTTCAAGCTGACCGTGGAGAACATCGGCTACCAGATGCTGATGAAGATGGGCTGGAAGGAAGGAGAGGGGCTGGGATCAGAGGGGCAGGGCATTAAGAACCCCGTCAGCAAGTAAGCACAGCTCCCCTCCCTGTGGATTCCCTTGGGGGGTGGGGGGGCTCGCAGTTGCTGCTCCCGCCCTGGGAGCAGCTGCGGGCAGTGTGGCTTCAGTGAGGCGTCACCTGAGCAGCACGTGGAGTTCTGGGGCACGGGAGGATATTCCTGCTTCCTTTTGGGCCCTAAAAAACCTGGCTTTGCTGCTGTGCCTCGTGGCTGAGCCACAGGCCTGCCCAGGCTGCACAGTGAGGTGCCTCCCCCAGCTGTAAAGATGATTTTTACTCCCCCGGTAAAGATGATATAATCACCTTTTAGGAAGGTAACACCTGCCTGCACCTCCCCTCTCTCCCTCTGGGATTCTTTAAAGCCATAAATTTATTGGGAGTGTTAAAGAGCAGCGGGCAAAACCCAACCAGAGCTGTGGGTGAAGGGTGTCCCAGCCCAGATCAGAGCCTTGTGGGATCCTGTCAGGCTCTTTGTGCCCAGGAATGTTGTGATTTGATCACATTTGGAGCCTCACAAAGCTCTGGGAGCGGTAGCCAGAAATAAACGTGCGTCTCTTTTCGGGTGGAATCATCTGTCGCTGGCATATGTTGGGCTTCAAAACTGAGTATTGGGGATGGGGGGAACGCTCCTTGAGCTGGTTTTTAGGGGTAGGCCCTGCTAGGAATAAGCTCTCTGTGCTGTAGGAAGTGTCTGTGCAAAGCTCTGGGCCGTGTGGTTGTGGGTTCAGAGGGGTAAAAGGTGGGAAGAGATTCCCAGAAGGAAGGCAGGATGTGGCCATGGACCATCCCTGAGTTGATAAATGCAGTTGGAGGTGGGAAGGGAGCGATCCCGCGGGAGGCAGGCGTGTGGTGTCACCATCCCTGCCCCTCCAGGGAGGGAGGTGTTCCTGCTCCTGCCGTGAAACCAATCCCTGTGGGCATTCCCTGCTTCTGTGGGACCACAACAGACCTCACTGATCTTGGGGAGGGGGATCCAGGAAGGTGGAAACCCCCTGAGATGGGATGAGTCCCACAGCGGCAGGATACTCGTGGCAGAAGGAGCTCGCTCTCTCAAGCTCTCCCTCTCTCTCTCACCTGCTTGCCCTCCTTCCCTCTCCCCAAACAGGGGGACCACGGCTGTGGATGGGGCTGGCTTTGGGATCGACCGCCCCGCTGAGCTCACCAAGGAGGACGACGAGTACGAGGCGTTCCGCAAGAGGATGATGCTGGCGTATCGGTTCCGCCCCAACCCGCTGGTGAGGGGGCACCCAGGATGGATCCAGGGGGCAGGGGGAGACCAGGAACGGGGCTGGGATGGATCCAGGGGGCAGGGAGAGACCAGGAACGGGGCTGGGATGGATCCAGGGGGCAGGGAGAGACCCAAAAACAGGACAGGAATGAGGAGAGATCCACTCTTGGGGGAGAGTCCAGGGAACAGGGAAAGGACAGGGACAGATCCTCTGGTGAGGGAGGGTCCTAAAACAGGGCAGGGACAAATCCATGGGTAAAAGTGTCCCAAAAGAAAAAACCCCGAGTTGTGACTGTTCCTCCTCCTTCCCCACAGAACAACCCACGGCGACCCTATTACTGAGGAGGGGCTGGGGCAGGACCTCCTGGGGGGGCAGCTGTGCCCTCCTGGCTGTGGAACCCCACGGAGCTGCTCCATCAATCCCAGCTGTTCTACAACTCCCCCAAGGTCCCAGAGGGAAGGCCTGGAGGCCCCCCCAGGTGCCACCACAGGGACAGGGATGGGGAGGGGGGGGGATTTGGGGAGGGAACCTGGAAGAGACAGCACCAAAGATCCCCCCCCCACCCCCTCCAGGAGCAGTTTGGGGGGGACTCCCATCCGTGGAATCCATCCAAGGAGTGTTGGTTGGGTTTGTTTTTTTTTTT